AGCTTCAAAAAAACGTGCATGTGAGAAAACATGTCGAAGAAAGATCTAACCTTTTTCTTCCCTACTCAATAATGCAAATGCTGGTGTTCTACCTTTAAGAGAAATGCAATCTAATTCTCCATGACTCGACAAGAAGGCAGCTCACCCCTCGACGTCTTGTATCCCCTACTACGGTTATAACATTAGCATACCGTCCAAAAAATTTAGTCGACATCCTCAACAAGCTTTCACTAGTGCAAGTATCATATATACTGCTTAAATGACTAAAATGAGAACGACCAAAAAATTAAAAGAAAGTGGTCTATATTGTAGCGTCCAAAACTAGTATGTACAGATAGCTGGATGAGAGTATTACTCGAATGGAAATTAGAATACATAATAAGGTAAAAAGGGCGTTACAAACTGTCAAACATTTACAGAATTTTCCTTTCATAGAGCCCACCAGAGTAATCACATGATATTACACTTGTCTTTTGATGGTTTAGTGTCCTGTTTTGAAGACGAAGATGTATTTTTGCTGCTACTAGGAACCTGCAAAAACATCGGCAGAAATTCAAGATTGCAGCAAATGGTAGTTTAACAAGTGACACAACCCATTCGCCAAATACCTCACAACCTCACAGGACAATATAACAAACAGATTCTTCCTCTCCCTTATAATAGCTCAACTTAATCTTTACCCCATGTTTAGTCAGCAATATATGAAGGGACTGGACGTTACTACAAGAAAAAGATTTTAGCTTCTTTTTTCTTACTTAATAGTGTCCAATCATGTCCATTAATGTGTACCACACATGCTTATTTGCCAATATACCTTAACTGTCAAATCCAAACAAAAAATTGTAATGCAGCAAAAACAGAAGAAACCTACCGGGGGACCAGTAATCAGCTTTGAACCACCACTAATGGCAGGTTGCTGCGGATTACGCTGTGGATGCTGTTGCTGCGAACTACGCTGTGGTTGCTGTTGCTCAAATTCCTGTTGTTGAAGAGCAATTGCCAATTGCAAATCAGAACTGCCAAAAACAGCATCAAAGTTACTCAGACGATGTTGTTCTACATAAAATGTTACAAGTAAAACACACCATACGGAAAATAGAATTTGAAATAAAATTCCTTCAAAGGACGTTACTCTAAAGTAAATCTTAACAAAGACCATCAACATTGAGTGAACAAGTTATTGCAAACAACAAATAAAATTGTAAAATTGACCTCAATGAAAAGCAAGGCATTCAGAAAAAAAAAA